GCTCATTATCCACATGGAGATGTGCTATCGGACTATATTACTCTAAACAAACCCATTTAAACAATACGTACAGATTCAACAACAACACTTATTCCTATTACGATATTTTTAAGCTACATTTTATATATTTGCCTATATCAGTTGTTTTTCTTGTTTTTCTACAGACATATAGCAACCCAAACAACATCGCCCTTGTCTTGATCTTAATCTTACTTTTGTCAGGGGACATACACACAAATCCAGGACCAGCAGACAGTTTTTCTTCATCTCACGACTCCGACTCCGACAATATATCCTTTTCTGTTTCTGACGAAAACTCATTAAAAATCATGCACTTGAATATTCGTAGCGTTAGAAATAAAATTGTTTTTCTTGAGAGTTTTACCGATGACGTAGACATATTGTGCCTAACAGAAACACATCTCGATCCTTCTATCCCTGATTCTGACCTTCTTCTTACTAACTTCTCAACAATATTTAGAAAAGACAGGAACGCTTTTGGTGGCGGTGTTATGATTTTTGCAACTAAAGACATACTTCCTAAACGCAGACTTGATATTGAATCACCGAATGACGAAATAATTTGGATTGAATTTTGTACTGATAATAAGAAATATCTTCTATGTGTACTATACAAACCTCCATGGCAAAATACTAACTCTGGAATTTGGACTCGACTGAAACATTCTTTTGACATAGCTTTTGACTACACTCCTCATGTTATATTAACAGGGGATACTAACATTGACTTATTAACAGGAAATAACAATGATCTTAGCATTCTAACACAGCAATATAATCTAACTAACCTGATTACCAGTCCAACTAGAGTTACAAATACTACACAATCCCTTATAGACCCGTTTTACATCAGTGATACTATATCCTCCGAATCATCCATTGTTGTACCAGTTTTAGAAGCTATAAGTGACCACAGAGCTATAATTGTGTCATTGTCGTCATGTCTACCAAAACCAAAGTCTTTTAAGAGGAAAATATGGTTATACAACAGAGCAGATATCTTAAATCTTAAAACAGAGGTAGGACAGGTAAATTGGTTAGATTTGTTTTCTCATGCGGATAATGTAAGCGAAAAATGTAAACTGTTCACTGACAAAATAATTTCTATTTTAGAAAAGCATATTCCTAAAAAAATTGTTACTGTTAATAAAAACGACAAACCATGGATGAACGGAGATATAAGAAAAGAAATTAAACGTAGAAACAGGTTAAGGAAACATTTTATCAGAGTTAAAACCCCATTGTCTGAAGCTAAATTTAAACGTGCACGAAATAAAGTAAATAATATGCTGAAGCATGCAAGAGCACTTTTTTATACAAATGTAGATGGACTTATCAATGATAGTTCAGCTAATCCTAAAGCATACTGGAAACTAATGCGTATGCTTTTAAAAGGTAACATTTCTACCGATATACCTCCCTTACTTAACCCTACAAATAACCGCTTAACCACAGACGACTATGACAAATCCAATATTCTAAATAACTTCTTTAAATCTGTTTCTGACCTTGATGACCATAACGACGATACACCCTATTTTGACAACCAAACAGACGCGTCCCTTACTGAAATTGTAATAACAGAACAAGAGGTTTTAGATATAATCAATATTTTAGACACTAATAAAGCTGCTGGTCCTGACGGCATCAGTCATAAAATGTTAAAAATGGTATCCAATGAAATATCTGCACCCCTCACACTTCTATTCAACGAATCCTTTCGTACTTCTGTATTTCCTGATTCATGGAAACTTGCCCATGTGACACCTATTTTCAAAAAGGGGGAATCTGAATTGGCAAATAACTACAGACCCATTTCCTTACTTAGCTGCATTGGCAAACTTTTCGAACGAATAATTCATAAGTTCATCTATAACTATCTCTTCAGCAACAAACTTCTATATACTTTACAGTCTGGCTTCTTACCAAATCACTCTACAACTCACCAACTCATCGAACTCTATCATAGCATACTTACAGCACTGGAGAATCGTGAATATACTGCTCTTGTTTTTTGTGACTTTTCTAAAGCTTTTGACCGAGTCTGGCACAAAGGTCTATTAATTAAATTAGAAAAATACGGGATAAAAGGCAAACTTTTAGATTGGATTAAAAACTACTTAAGTAACAGACGCCAGTCAGTGGTACTAAAAAATGCTATATCTTCTGAAGTATCTATCAAAGCCGGAGTTCCTCAAGGTTCAGTGTTAGGGCCACTTCTTTTTCTTGTATACATCAACGATATTTCAAATACATTACTATCAATGACTAGACTTTTTGCTGACGACACCGCATTAGCACACTCTTCGAAAAATTTACACGATATAAAACAAGTTATAAACTACGACATGGAACAATTAAACCTTTGGTCAAATAAATGGTTAATGAATTTCAACCCAAATAAAACCGAAATTCTCTTAATTTCCAACACAAATATACCTTCTAACCCACAATTTCTTTTCGACAACACACCTATCCCTATTGTTAAAAACCACAAACACCTAGGAGTCATTATTAGTAACAACGGCACATGGAACTCTCACATCGAACATATACTAACAAACACTACAAAGTACATTGCAACTTTAAGGAAATTAAAATACATCCTAAATAGAAAAAACTTGGAAAAAATATACCTTGTTTTTATAAGACCACTATTTGAATATGCCTGCGAAGTATGGGACAATTGTAATATCACATTTTCGAATAAATTAGAGAACATGCAGTATGAAGCAGGTCGAATAATAACTGGATTACCTATTTATACAAAAAAAGAATTTATTTACAGAGAGCTCGGATGGAAATCATTGATAGATAGACGCAGGATTAGAAAATTATCCATGTTTTATAATATTTATCATGATAATGCTCCCTCATTTCTTAAATCTCTTCTACCACCTATTGTGTCAAACTTCTCTAACTATAATCTTAGAAACAGGAATAACTTTCAGAACCCATACTATAGACTGCAAATCACAAAATCATCCTTCATACCAAGTACTTCAGACTACTGGAACAATCTATCTATAGAAACAAAGTCATCAGCATCCATTAAACAATTTAAATCTCTTATTCAGCCCCAAGTCACTACCCCTTCTTATATTAAATGTTTTCTTGAATATGGGTCCAGAAAAGTAAATATTATACATTGCCAATTACGAAACCGCAGTAGCTCTTTAAATTACGACCTTTTTAAAGCCCACCTTCGAGACAACTCTACTTGCGACTGCGGAAATGACTCGGAAGACTCTTCCCATTTCTTACTAAATTGTAAAAAATTTGACCAATCCCGTAATATAATGCTCCAATCCCTCGATTGGTATAACGAGATCACTGTTGAACACCTTCTCTTCGGAGATGCAAACCTTGACTACAATCTAAACATTCAAATTTGTAGGTCTGTACAACTGTTCATTTTAAGCTCCAAACGGTTTAACATGTAATACCCAATAGTCTTATTGAATAACCAGGATACCTATTTCGACTATTCCCATCTGTCTCTCCCCTCCACCTCCTCTCTTATTCCAGCCCCTCTCCCTTTTTCCAACACCAACGATCTCTGTGTACTAACTTCAATCTTAGCGTCCATCAATATCATAACCGTTTCCATATGACAAAGAGTGCGTGTTCGGTTTTCCTAATCTAGTCGGCTAAGTATGTAAGGCAGGAATTCACAGAAGGACTTGGAGTGACACATGAGAAAGGCAAATGCGGCACGGAATGTGATTGAACTTTAGAAAAGCAGAAGGACATGTATGTATAGATTAGTTATACTACTTACGCCGACTTGATTGGGAAAATCACACACGCCATCTCAAGTAAACTCTCCGAATACATATTTAAAAACTATACGTTGGTGTCCCCAATCCTATCATTACCTCTTTTGCTGTTATCCATCTTTAACATCTTATATATATATATACATATACATGTATGAATTTGTATTAGGTTATTACGTGACTCATTAATTTTGTATATATATTTTCTATTACGGAAAGGACGAAAGTAAGTTGCAATAACTTTTGTCCAATCCATTTGTCTTTTGTTGCAATAAAATTGATTTAAACTATAGCAATAGTCGAATCAATTTTTTTTTTGTATATCATATCTGAAAACTTCCGTTGTAATTGGCCCCATAGTTTTGGAGGAGTTGTCTGGACAAATATGTTTCAACTAAGGGCCTTTATTCCGTCAAAAGAGGTCAGATTGAACAAATGATACATGGATGCACAACACCAGGAGGAAGTTATCATATCTGAATCTTTTGAATTTGGCCGAGTAGATAAGGAGAAGTTGTCAGCACAAGTTTTTTCAAGAAAGCGCCTAAAAGGGTGGGGAAAAACATACCTGGATGCAAAACCTCAGGGGGTAGTTATCATATCTGAATTTTTTCGTTGAAATTGGCCCAGTAGTTTTGCAGAAGTTGTCAGGGCAAGCATTTTTCAATATTTTTTTCTCTGCCGTTAAGCCGTATCTGGCGCAAAACTAACTTTTTGCTCCGACGTAATCCAAACAGTGAGTAGGCCTATTACGTACTCTGACGTAAGCGAAGTACCCCCGTGATATTGGCATTTATACTTGTTCCACATTTGTCTCTATTTATAATATTCTTATCTTGAATAAAATTTAGTTGTAAGCCTATTGGTTTTATCTTGTTTCTATAATGCATTCTCCACTACACATCCCTGATTCTGCATTGCATTGGATGATTGTAACTCGACTTAGCTGATGTTGTTTTGCTCTAAGGATATGTTACAGGTATGGTGTTGTGTCCCTCCCCTGTTCTGTCAGTATCGGGTCATACAGATCTAGATTACAATGCTGAATAAAAACTCCAGTATCTTGTGTAGCTTATTCATAACGTATTTTTTACAAAACATGCTATTTCATTTGCAGATAATATTCCAGATATACTATGAATTCCGGATTAACAGTTAATTCATTTTGTCGTTTAGAATGTTTTCAATAATCACAACTTCCGGTTAAACGTCTGAATTGACAACGAGCACCTGTAAGGCTGTTGATTTGACTCCTGTGAAGACAACACCACAACATATCTGCATAATTCATTGTTTGTACTACTAGTATTGTATTTAAGTATATTCATAATTCGTCAAGAAGCATGGCAGAAGACGATGGTTTTGATGGCGGAGCGTTCACTGTAGAGGGTAGGTAATGTTATGCATTACAGATTACTAGTCTACAGTACAGCAGTATATATATATATACAGTCATTAGGATATGACCGGTTATACAGACGCAGTGGAGCATCCATATGAACATGCACATGCAGCCACGACGCACTCTGTATAATTGTGAAACATCTAATTATAAACTACAAAGAATAGTACAATCTATACCACAGGTGCTCGGGGATTTATTAGTATAAGGGGGTGCGATATCTAGTGGGTGCGATTATATATCACTAGACTACAAGTGAAGCTTCTGCTACTGGTACAGACTCCCGGTGGTTAACGTTGGGTTATCTACAATCAATATGACTACCGTATATACCAACATATAAGCCAAAGGTAATAACAGTTTCCTCGTGCAGATTAAACAATTGATGGACAAACGTCATGTACAGGCGAGTTGGAGAAACAAAAGAATTTTATCTAATAATCAAATTCCCTCTGATTTTTATTGGTGCAATATTTGGTACTAGGATACTGTTATCCTCTGTATCTGATAGTTATTTTACATGAATATTAACCATTTAACAGAAATATCTTCTGAAAGCACACTTGCATCTTTGGGATGCTCATCTTCAGAAAAACATGCACCATAATGAATAGACACAGTCTATGGTTTTATACTAATAATGATCATGAATACATTTTCAAAGGAATATAATTCAAAAATTGATTTTTACAAAAACCAACTAAAATTGTGGAATACAAGTCGTTCCGGCCCCCGAGTCGTTCCGGCCCTAGTGGTTCCGGCCCCTTCCCGGTCCGGCCCCGTATACTTAGTCATTCCGGCTTCATTTATTATATATTATTATGTTTATTTGGAATTAAATTTTAAGTTCAATTTATTTATATAATGGATAATTCATGTTTTTTTTTTCTACATTTGTTGTCTTTTCATTTTACATGTTGTCTAAAACAAGATGTTGATTTTTTTTTGTCATCACATCTTGTTGAAATCGATCTATGTCGATCTTCCAAGTGTGAAGATGCAAATGTGTAATAATATGTGAACATATGTCATAATCTATTATTTGCTATTTATTAAATATATGTTGTTATTGTTGATTGCATTAAATATTACATAATGAATATAATGTATCATGTTTTTCTCATCTTTTGATCGATGTATGTAACGGACTAAGGGCGACAACCTGTACACTTGTACAATAAACACGGTGCAAAATGTAAAACTGTTACATCCATATCTATGTAAACATTCGATCCAATCATAAAACATATTTCAATGTTGATATGTAAAGGAAAACACGACTATATAGAGGCCGGAACGACTAAGGGGCCGGAACTACTAGGGGGCTGGACCGGGAGAGGCCGGAACAACTTGATCCCAAATTGTGTAATTGTGAGATGGCTTAATATAAGAGCCTGCTCTTGTTGCCAGATCCCTAATATTACATTATGTAACATTTTATATTATGTACAGCATATTTGTAAATAAAATATTGTTTAAACCAAATTGTGTAATTATACAAAAATCTTTATTTCAGCAAATCACTTGTTTGGTCTACAATTTCATTGATTTCAGGTTTACAGGTGATAACTCTAGTTGAGCACAAGTAAATTTATCAAAGATGGCTTTAACTCATTCACCCCTGAAATATCATATTGAACTATTCCAACCATATGGGCATGGATCGCTTTACTTGTAATATCAAAAAATAGGGATCTCCTATACTAGTAATGTATTTATTAGTATAGGAGACCCCTATTTTTTAATATTACAAGTAAAGCGATCCATGCCCCTGTGATTCCAACCTTTGAATTGGAAGAGTTCAAATGTGTCTTCAGGGGTGAATGAGTTAATTTTGCAGCCACAGGTATACATCTAAATGACCAACAACAGAGAAAACTATGCCTTAAACAACTACTATCGTTGGACTTGACTTTTGAAAGCTCTATAGCTCTAACTCTGAAGTCCTTCAACCAAATAACTGTGAACCCTCCTTATGCATTTGCCAGAAAAAAAAACAAAAAAAATGTCCTTGCTTCTTTCTGATATTCACTCATTTGGTGGTCTGACAGATATAATGATATATATTTATAGGTGTCCTGTAACAGGTTTACTATACACATAGAGTTATCACTGTGTCAATGGAAATTAAATCATCCGCCAATAAATATAACTACTGATATCATAAATTAATGAATTAACACTCATAACTATTGGGTGGAACGGACGTGCTGATTCATTTGGGAGAACTTGGGTACATATCAAAGTTTTACTTCCTACACAAACTATGTATGTATTACTTTTCTGCTTTCCTTATACAAATGCAATGTAAGTGTAAACATTAGAAAAATGTATTAAAATGACAATCAATAATTGTTTGTGTGAAAGTGGAAGTGATATTAGTGTGTGTGAGATTTTCAGCTATTACAAATGTACTTTGCATTGTATAAAAAAAATCTGAAAATAAAACATCGATCCAGGAGTAGAGCCAACGCCGTTATTGTAGTTCAGGTTCGGTAGGTTCCGTTATCCCTTGCCTGGATACCAACCAGTATGCAGGGCGATTGAAGAATAGGAAAATAAGCATAGGAGTCAATCGCAACAAGCTCAGGATAAGTTGAATCTTATTTATTGGGTATGTCTACCGGTTTCGCCCGAACAGTGGGCTTCTTCAGGAGAAACAAATACAAAAAAACACCTATGAATGTATTAAACGTGTCGCAACGCTTCAAGACCGACTGGTCTGTTTGTCAAGCTATGACTGAGTGAGGGATTTGTATTTTTACCTGTACAACAATGTGATGAAATTGTATATTTCTTATGTCACTCGACTCAAGACGTTTCGCCTATTGATAGGGGGTGTATACACACTGCATCAGATATGTTACAGGTATGGTGTAGTCCCCCTCCCCTGTTCTGTCAGTATCGGGTCATACAGATGACACATTAAGTACATACATTTACCAGGAGATCTGCAGTATCGGGTCATACAGATAACACATTAAGTACATATACATTTACCAGGAGAAAAACCTTGTTTGTTAGATCAGGCAGTGCTCTCATACATTTTGGCAATAAATGACCACTATTTGAAATATTTAATGGTTCTATTTTTAATATTTAAACATACTGTTCACTACTATAGTCATAATGACCAACAATTTAATTTCTATTGGACTTGAAAACCCCTAGGCCATTAGAACGATGGTCATCTCTTTGTTGCCCGTTAATGTATAACAAACTGATCATGCTGTCCTTAGCTTTTCTAATCAAATTGTACAAGTGCCCTAGTACTAAATTTATCTGGACTTCAAAGTGTATGACACATTGTGTATATACATTTATATAAGGTGTTTAAGAAAACTGTTGATGGTAGAAGTGTTAGGGCGAGACAAGTGAATATACTTAAATGTCTGTCTGTGCAGAGTAAAATAGGATGACAAATTGTGTGTGTTAGTACTGTACCTGTTAGGATGACAAATTGTGTGTTTTAGTGCTGTACCTGTTAGGATGACAAATTGTGTGTGTTATTACTGTACCTGTTAGGAAGACAGATTGTGTGTGTTAGTACTGTACCTGTTACGATGACAAATTGTGTGTGTTAGTGCTGTGCCTGTTAGGATGACAAATTGTGTGTGTTATTTCTGTACCTGTTAGGATGACAAATTGTGTGTGTTAGTACTGTACTTGTTAGGATGCCAAGTTGTGTGTGTTAGTACTGTACCTGTTACGATGACAAATTGTGTGTGTTAGTGCTGTGCCTGTTAGGATGACAAATTGTGTGTGTTAGTGCTGTACCTGTTAGGATGACAAATTGTGTGTGTTATTACTATACCTGTTAGGATGACAGATTGTGTGTGTTAGTACTGTACCTGTTAGGATGACAGATTGTGTGTTTTAGTGCTGTACCTGTTAGGATGACAGATTGTGTGTGTTAGTACTGTACCTGTTAGGATGACAAAGTGTTGTATTCTATACATATATTTTTTTATACAGAGTTATGGCTTCAGATGTTTTTTTTTAAAGATTTTAAGACAAAAATAACCTCCTTGTGTTGAGATGCTATTAACTCATTTTTGATACCAAAGTTTGTCCGGATACCGAGAAATATTCCCTGCAGTTTTATTTCACCTTTTTCACCACCACCCACAATAAGGATAAAACGTCATGAAAGTGAATAGAAGTACACAGTTGAACTATTTGTAGTAATTAATTACATTTGAAGGGCAACATTTATACGGGCAAAAATAGATTCTACCAGTAAAGGGCGAAAGTTTGACAGGGGGAAAGTTTGCCGGTAAACAGTATTCGTTGCTGGGAATAATCTTCCTTGTCATACGATTAAAGGTATTCCGATCATCTAATACATGAAAAAAATGTATGTAATACAAATTTACGATGATTCTACTGTTTTACAGGTGATAAGGATGATTTGATCGGGGAGACACAGCGAGCCGTTGGAAAAGGAGGCCATTTGTTACAGACAAGCAACAGCTTCACGAGTGAAGGCAGTCATAAGAATGAGTCTTCCCCTCTCCACAAAGCAAAACAGCTGCTTCACTCCAGCTCTGGCAAAGAGATGTGAGTTCTCATAGATTTGTTTTTGCCTAGTTTTACAGCCGAACAAAAGCTGCTTCACCTAGCAAAAGTGCCTTTTTTCAAAATGGACCAAAAATGAGGGATATCTACCTAATTTCAGTAAAAATAATGCTATATTTTCCACATTCAAGATTGGAATAGGCTATTGAAAGATTTCTGTAGGAAAGACACTGGCTTTGGGACAAACAAAAACAATCATGTACTGTATCTAAATGATAGGCATCAATACATTTTAATAACAATGAACTTTAACTTAAAGCGCATTACAGGGACAGCGCATTACAGGGACTTATGTTAAGCTTGATAGGGTGCTATATCAATTGTTGTATATCTATTTATTTTATTTATTTAATTTCATATTATACAATTGTTTAATTTTTGAGTCCAGTCTAGAGATGCTCTATCAGCTCCTGTATTGAAAACTAACCTTAGCTTCAATAAAGTTTTACTTTATTTTTATGAGAATCACTTTTTTTTGACACCGAAACTTGTGGTATTTTGTATTTTTTCACATTAGTGTATGGAAGTGTTACTGAATNGGGGGGGGGGGGGGGGGGGGGGGGGGGGGGGGACATAGGAGGACAGTGAAGCTGTTTAAATGACGTGTTCCACGCTCCCGTATACGTGCTGTATTTAACTGTGACAGCCTATCCGCATCTAAGGAGCTGACCGGACTTAGGGCGTGATCTGGACGGGCAAGGTCATTTTGAATCACCGAGGGCCTGTAAGCAGGAGACTTACCCCCTCAAGACGCCAGAACACGGGCACTGCCCGTGAAAAGGAGTCTATAAACCCATCAACCAACCAACCAACCAAGGGTGTGTGTGGTGGGGGGGGGGGGTCATGCAGGTCAACGTGGGGGGTATATGTATGTTGCTGTATGTATCATCTATATCATGTGTTTGGATTAATGAATATGATTATTGAATTTTCTGCGGAAGTAAGTTAGATAGTAAAAGTGTAATTTAAGTTTAGTAAAAGTGTAATTTAAGTGTACCTACCTATTTGAAATCATATCCTATAGATATGTACACTTGTGTCTTTATGTCCTTTCTTCTTTAGATCTCAGTCGCGAGGCCTGAAGATAATTATTGTGTCCGCAGTCCTGTTTGCCATCATAATAACAATAGCCCTCATCTTGTCTATTGTGTTTGGTGAACCACAGGTAACGATCCATTGTAATTAATAACCTGTCTATAATAACGCACAAGGGAGAAGGATTTTTTTTTTAAACGTTGTAGTTGATTATTAAGCACTAGGTAATTTTTTGAAAATAAGTGTTTAAATTTCTAAAAAGAAATAATAAAAAACAATTGATAATGCACATGTTTACCAGGTATTTGTTATATATTAATTCAACTAACAAATTTAATGTCAATTGGTCAAGGAAAAACACAATCTGAATTTGAAAATAAACTAGATTTCTTGTAAAGGAATACTGTAGTATGTGTCTGTAGTGTATGTTGAATTTTTAAAAACCAGATTTAAAGTTTTGTGCAAGATATAAATACCCCCTGGTATTTGTCGCTATGACATAACGATATAATTGTGATTTACAGGTGGGAGGCAATGCTGGTGTTGCCGCAGATGTACCGCTATGCTCAGATATGGGGCGGGACATCCTCAGAGACGGAGGTAACGCCGTGGACGCCATGGTAACGACGATGCTGTGTGTAGGAGTGGTGGATGCCCAGAGTTCTGGATTAGGAGGGTACATTGTTGATATTTGTATGCCCCTGCCATAAAATGGGGGGGGGGGGGGTATATAGTGTTGCCCATGTCGGGCGCGTTGCGTCCTGATTCAATGTCAACACCCGTCCCGATTCATTGTAAACAATTATCAACTTCATTCTTTGACAGTTTTTGGTCAAACTTTATACAAAGGTACAACCCTCTATAACATGTAGGGGGTATATAGTGTTGTCCATGTCCGTCCCGATTCAATTTCATTTATGTCTTACAGACATTTTCTAGTCTGTTCTCTTTACCATATATTTGCTCCAATAAAAAGGTCCAAATTTCATGGTGAAACCATTCAAGTTTAATGCAAAACTGCTTTGTTATTATAAATAAATGAAGGATTCCTGCTGACTTTTGACAATATTTCATTTGAAAGATATTAAATTGTTATGTTCATTTTTCCAGTATCAAAGAACTCTTTAATTTCCATAAATACCACTACAGGTTTTAAAGGTAACTATAAATGCCTCAACAATACACTGTTTTGACTTGAGCCAAGTCTGTGAAAACTGTTCATGATAATTCACCATACTGTTTGCATGTTATAGAACTGCCTTAAAAAGTATGACAAGAGTATATAGTGCTATAATTAATGAAAATCAGGGGGAAACCTATCCTTAATGGATAACACAGTTTCAAGGGAGACAACTTTGAGTATGGTACAATTTTTTTCTTCTAAAGGACGACAAACCATTTGAATTGACCACCTCTATATTTCAGTGGTGGTTTCATGCTTATACATGACCACAAGTCACATGTATCCTCAGTGATCGACTTCAGGGAGATGGCCCCAGCCATGGCCAGCCCGGGCATGTATCCAGGCAAAGGCCAGTCTCTGATGGTACGTCGGCAAAAACAGGAATTAGATATATGTATATAGTTCAATCTTAACAACAAACATCAATTTATTTCTTTATACACAATGTATGTATGTGTTAAATGTGTTGCAATGTTTCAAGTCTGACTGGTCCCTTTGTCAAGCTTAGTGACTATGTTGTCACTCATGATCAGTCATGGTTTCACAAAGTTTGCAATAGTTTAATATTAATATACATGTACATTGTTTGTGTACAAAGAAACATAATTAAATACCACATTTCCAAACTTATGAATATTATTAACAATATTAGAATCTTAGGAACACTTTGTGTATCATTTTAGTATGTAGAAATACAAAAACAGCACAGCACAATTAATGTAGTTGATCACCGCTAGCTAACATAGTCAAGCCTTACGGCCATTTTCAGGTGATTGTTGATACATGTATTTATATGCTAGCTTATACATTGCCTTTATTTTTGACCATTACAAATCATAACATGTATGTAAATAATTATATTTTCAGATCGACTTATTTAAATTGACCCTTTTGAAACATTAAATCATGAAAACATTGCTTAGTTTGACAGAATTGATGCCAGATGTGTCCGTTATATTCTACAGGGTGGACTGGCTGTAGGAGTTCCCGGAGAACTAAAGGGAATGCAAACAGCCCATAATAAACACGGCAAGTATGTGTTTCCATCTATTCGCTATTTCATGTCTAAAATTATCTGTTTTTATACGAACGTCAAATTTGACTAGTATTATGGTATGGCGTTGTCCGGCGTAAACTTTGTTTGTCCGGCAATCTCCTCCTACATTTTTCGACTGATCTGTTTGAAACCTGGTATACATCATAATCATGATATGAAGTTGTGTCTCCCGTAAAAGAATTTTGATTTGACAATTTTTGCAAAAGTTATTGCCCTTTGTTCATTTCAGTATCGGTTTTTTGTCCGAAGATTTTCTCCTACATTTTTTATAGTATATCAGCTAACCACTCTTAGAATGATGCAGATCTTATTTCAATGTAACACTATATGGCATTCGACGGGCGTATTTTGTTCCGCCCCAAGGTACTCTTGTTCTTTATCAAGCAGATACAGTATACTGGGAAATGTTCGCTGCAGTTTAATTTTCACCCTTTTCACCCTCCATAATGAAAGCAAATTTATCATTTACAGAGAACGTTGGTTAACAACGAAATATACATAATAATTTGAAGCCATAATCTACAAATTTTATGAATCATGATAAAACATTTGAATTTCCTGCATTTTCAGCATGTATTACATGTACATCACTGTGCATACTCCTAGGTCATGGTAAACATGAGATTTTAAAGTCAGGTTCTAATGAAGTTCTGGCTGCAAGAGGCAAAATGGTCAACGTTAACTTCAAAGAATAATTTATAACATTGTATGCATGAATGTGTGGCGACTTGCTCACTATCAGCTGATGTCTGAAATTATGCAGTAACACATTTTCTGGCTGTCAGGTTATCGTGGCAGAATGTGGTCCAGCCTGCCGCAAACCTCGCCAGAAACGGATTCAAAGTGACACCCAGCATGGGTAAGTCTATAACATATATATACTGTGTGTAAGTTTGTATGTACATCCTAAATGCATGGTAGTCTAGTGGTAGGACGCTGGGCTCATGACCAAAGGCTAGGGTTGCAGGTGCGAGTCACATCACAGCACTGTGTTGTATCCTTGAGCAAGATACTTTACTCACGGCTTGTTCCAGTCTGCTCAGCTGTAAATGAGTCTGTGGTTGGAATTGTTGAATGCTATCTATGAGCGATGAAATGGCAGCACCAGCTGTATGCTCCCCAGGGATCGAGTTGAGAAAGATATTGGCTGGTTGCAAAGGCCCAATAACCACCGATAATAATTTGTAAAGCGCTTTGAGACGACCTATGAACTAGATTGTGATAAAGGGGTATATAAGAACCTTGAATTATCAATATTATTATTAATAAGTTATATAACTTCTTTCAAAGGATCAACCCTGGTAACCTAGCTTTTTCTAATAGAAAAATGATCACAAAAATTTAATGGGTGTAATCAGTTCTCCCAAAAACAAACAACTATGGTTTTCATTGAACTTCCTATTATTTACAGCTAAAGTATTCACCGAAGGAAAAGTGAAGGAGTCTGAATTTACTGGAATGTTGGGCGAGATTTATTTGGACGAGAACAGGGACTTTGTAAAACAGGGAACGCTCATCTCTCGTCCACAGTTAGCTAACACACTGGACATCATTGCAGAGCATGGTGCAGATGCCTTTTACGATGGACAGCTCTCCCAGTCAATTATTGATGCGGTATGGTTTCTTTAGGGTTTTCATATTCATTAGAGTTCATGCATCACTAAACGCATGCTGTAGAGGCTAAATTTGACTTGCATTTTACACTTCAGTGATTTCTTCAATATTTCTTCGTATATCGCATTAAGAAGCATTTACCTTACACAATTCCTGATCAGAATGAAACTTTATTTGTTGGAGTTATTCTTTTTTATTGAATTATACCTTTCATACCTTTTATTGGGTAGTGGGGATGATTAGTAAGTCTTAAGTCTTACGAAAGGTGATGAAATTATGGGTAAAAGTTAAACAATTATATGTATGTATGAACTGACAGGTGTCCAATGCTACTCCTCCTGGAATCATGACGAGGGAAGATCTCAAAAATTATGATGTAGTCATCAGGGAAGCTGTTAAAACTACCTACAATGGTAAGTTTGTTTTGAGACATCCCTTTGTTAATTGTTGTAATCAATATTTAAGGTTTCAAATTGCATACCATTAATTTTGCAAAACATCTAAATTTTGAATGAGTGTAAAGCTTAGTTTTTCCCAACTTTGATAACATATTATATTTTGTCAGGTTTATTAACAAACACATATAATCATATTGAGAAAATCGACATCTGTTTCTCTTCTTTATCAGCTGAATATTTGAATACATGATCAGAATAATTGTGTGGTTAAGATTCAAAATTGTGCTAGAACAAATGGATGAACTTTTTAATACTTTGATCCCTCTAACATTTAAAGAGAACTAAGGTGATTAATTCGAAAAAACTGTGATGGCCAATCACAGCAACTAGTGTGTAACAGCAACTGAACTGAAACCTGTAGCTAGTAGGGTTTTTTGGGGGAGGGGGCTGGAGAAAATTATCAATATTTATTATGAAGATATGTAGGTCTGGTTTAGTGTATTTTTCAAACTCTGCCTTTACAGCTAAAACTTCATATATGAAATTAAACAACCCTGATAATTTAAAGGCAATTTAAATCGTTTGAACCCTGACACCTTGATATTTCAGAAAATTAAATGACCTTGAACTTTTAATTTTTCACCTTGAATCTTGTTCTGGTGAAATATAAAGTTGACAAATATGTTTGCAGGTCATACGATATTGTCTACTCCTGCCCCAGCCTCAGGATCTGTTCTGCTCTTCATCATGAATGTTTTGGAAGGGTTCAAACTTACAAAGGCAGATAAGAATTCAGTGCAAGCCTTCCACAGAATCGTTGAGGTACAGTATAGTAAATAGTATCACTTTATTTTCACCCTGCACTTAGTGGAGCAAGGTTCTTTTGTCATCATGTCCATGTAAAATGACCTTCCCTCAGTAGTAAAAAGCTTGTAGTTTGATGATTTCTCATAAACCTCTCTACAGATTCAGTTTGCATTTACACCATAACATGGTCTCATCACGTTTTGCAATTGACTAGACTTTGGTGTCTGCCTTTAAGTAGTAAAAAGCTAGTATACAAGTTGAAGATTACTCATAAACCCCTCAACAAATTTAGCTTATATTTTCGTGTCCATCGGTCAAGGTTAAAGATGTTATAGTTATTACAGAATGCATGACGTTACATTTTGCATCGTTAATAACCTTAATAATGTTTTATCTTCAGACATTAAAGTTTGCGTTTGAAAAGCAACAACAGTTGGGTGATCCAGACAAGGACAGCACAGGCCAGGTGAAGAACACCACAGAGATGTTGGCCAGGTAAGACAGATGGCCAGGGAAGACAGATGGCCAGGGAAGACAGATGGCCTGTTCGTTTATGTGGAACAACCAGTTTGTCTTTTTTTTAATGTAACATTTTTCTGATATAAATCCTGGCGGACCTGCAAATGTTTATGAAGGCTTTGTCAAGGTTCGCCTGAAAACAGCATCAGACTACTAGGTCCGACCTTACTTTATAAACAAAACTCTGGTCAAATCATTTGGATCATGATAAAAGATAGTGGCCATGGTGTGACTTATTTGGTCACTCATGATTCATTAGGTAACTTTCTAACAGTTGGTACACATTTTCGGTTTTCCAATAAAGGGTTACACCCTGAATATTGATTACGATATCAAGCAACAATGCTTTGCCACATCATCGTTCAATTGTGACATCATAGCTAATAGCAACTGTTTCCCTGGTCATAAAGAGGAATCTCGCTTTTTCAAGCATAAAAATGAGCTGCGATTATAAACTTCATCCCTGATATGTTGTCATAAAATAGTGAGTTTGTGGTTTTAACAGTTCATATACATAAAGAGCAATACAAGATGTTGGAAAATATATAACATCACACATCTAACTACCCTAGATTTTTGTGCCTATCTAAACTTTGTTGGGGCATTTAGTGATATCCACTGTAAAAGTCAGAACTCCTACTCTTTATAACCACAGTAAAAACGTTTTCAAAAATAAAAATAAAATCCTACCTACCTTATTTTTCTGAGGATGATAGTTGAAACACATGTGACTTTTGGCTCACCTAGCCCAAAGGGCCAAGTGAGCTTATGCCGTGGCGTGGCGTCCATCGTCTGTTCGTCGTCTGGCGTCAATATTTTACTTTAAACAACTTCTCCTTAATAACCAAAAGGCAAAGGGTGATCATATTTGGCCAGAAGCAAACTGGGATGAAGGGCTACCAAGATTGTTCAAATGAATGACCTTCACCTATATTCAAGGTCACAGGGGTCAAGTATGTTAAAAAATTGAAAAAAACTCTTCTGAACAACCAAAATGCCAAGGGTGGTGATATTTGGCCAGTGGCATTCTGAGAGAAGGGCTACCAAGTTTGTTCAAATGAATGACCTTCACTCATATTCAAGGTCACAGGGGTCAATTGACTTAAAAAACCTTTAAACATCTTCTTCTCAATAACCAAAATGACCAGGATAGTAATATTTGGTCAGTAGCATGATGGGATGAAGGGCTACTACGCTTGTTCATATAAATGGCCTTCACACATATACAAGGTCACAGGGGTCAAATATGTTAAAATCTTTAAACAACCTCTTCTGAATAATAACCAAAATGCCTAGGGTGATGATATTTGGCTAGTAGCATACTAGGATGAAGAGCTACCAAGTTTTTTTCTACATAATGACCTTGAATTATATTCAAGGTCACAGGGGACAATTGTCTAAAACATACCTTTAAACGACTTCTTCTGAATGACCAAAATGCCCAGGATGATGATATATGTGGCCAGTAGCATGCTAGGATGAAGGGCTACCAATTTTGTTCAAATGAATGACCTTGACTTATATTCAAGGTCACATAGGTCAAATTTGTTTGAAATTTTCAAACGACTTCTTCTGAATAATCATGAGGCCCAGGATGTTGATATTTGGCCAGTAGCATGCTTAGATGAAGGACTATCAAGCTTGTTCATTTGAATGACCTTGACCCACTTTCAAGGTCACAGGGTTCAAATGTTTTAACATCTTTTAATAGGTTCTTTTGAATGATTCCTAGTTCTTAGTACTGATATTTTGCCTATAGCTTTACTTAAGATTACTTTTAAGGTTGCAATTGTCTTGATCACAAAATTATAATCCATGCAAATAAATTTTCAATTTTTTGTTAAAAAATTGCGATTTTTTTTAGCCGATGTTAATAACCAGCTATACAGTAAACAAATTTAATTGTGACTGTATTCACAGGCATCTTTGTTGGTTTGTAATCTTTTACGTATTTTCAAACTTATACAGCAAAGCCGAAGCCAAAAAGATACGTAGTCTCATTTCCAATGTAACAATGGACGAAACAGGACAGTTCAATAAGCTGGACAAAGGCACTTCACACATCTCCATCATTGACGCACAGGAACTCATGGTCTCCGTGACGACGTAAGTTCAGTCAGCACCACGACATACAGTACTCTGTCAAAGAATATACATAACCAGATGCTCTGCTATGTCCTGTAACTTACAGTAAATGTAATTTTCCAACTGCATATAATAAATAGCAAGTTCTCTGTGTCATAATAAATACAATGAAATAAAGTAATGAGAATTGTATATCCTACAAAATCAAAAACATCTTATTGTGTAAAAATTAAAATTAAAAAAAAGATCTTCATATCACAATACATACAGTTAATCACCAAAACATCTTATTCGATACAATGAATAAAACAAGTAGTAAGTTTGAAATGTGATTTTCATAAGTTAATGTTTTCCACTTTTGTCAACAGTACAGTAAACATGTGGTTCGGATCACGGGTGATGACATCCACTGGTATCCTCCTCAATGATCAAATGGCAGACTTCTTCATACCAACACCGGGCTCCAGTCAGCCATCAAACCAGGTACCGGTAATACTGTCAAGGTCAAGCAGTGGTCACAGCCACAAAACCTTGGTTAATGGTTAGGGTCAAGGTCAAGCAGTGGTCACACAGACACAAAACCTTGGTTAATGGCTAGGGTCAAGGTCAAGCAGTGGTCACAGCCACAAATCCTTGGTTAATGGTTAGGGTCAAGGTCAAGCAGTGGTCACAGCCACAAAACCTTGGTTAATAGCTAGGGTCAAGGTCAAGCAGTGGTCACACAGACACAAAACCTTGGGTAATGGCTAGGGTCAAGGTCAAGCAGTGGTCACACAGACACAAAACATTGGTTAATGGCTAGGGTCAAGATCAAGCAGTGGTCTGAGTTAAGGGTTTAAAGATATTGTAATATGATAATAATGACTCACTTGCGAGGTCATAAAGGTCTAATGTGTTAAAAAAAAGGCATATGACATCTTCTCTAGAGCCTATGGTGGAAGAATCTCCAGGTCACAGAAATCAGATAATTAAAAACAAAAAATATAAAATAAAATATTGATTAATGCTATTTTGTCTCATGTTTTATCTTTGAATCAATATTCCTCAGACATTCCATTCTTCAAATTAAACATCAGTTAATATGAAAATGAATCCAAACTGAAATTTTGAGTAACACTGAAATGCAATTAAATGTGTTTTTTTCCAGCTGAATGCTATAGGGCCTGGGAAGCGCCCGCTATCCAACATGGCACCCACCATGCTACTCAATGAAGATCGGCCATGTGCTCTTCGCATGGTGGTAGGGGCCGCCAATGGGTCCCGCATCATCTCAGGTAGGACTAGGTTGATTAATGTTTTTGTTTCAAGATCACTGTTAGAGGTGAAACGTTCACACAACCATCCAGACATTGTCACATGAATGTTTTAGGATCACTTACATTTCCTCTCCTCCTACAATAAATGAAGGTTTCATTTGTATTGTACAGATATGGCACCTTGAACTATTTCTAGTTTTTGAATGGCTCCATTATATTGTTGGTATTTTTTTCTGTAGGTGTGGTAGAAACCCTCCTAAATGTGGTGTCGTTTGGAGAGACAAACCTGACAAAGGCAATTCTAGAGCCCAGGATCCATTACGATGCCATATCACGTGACACAGAGTATGAACGTAAGTGACATGTCATGTACAAATTTTAAAAGATTTAACTTTTTTTTCTTTTGATACAATTGTGGGAAATAGCTTTAGTAATCAAGCAAGCTATCTTTTCAAGTACGGTTTTGGTAGAGTGAATCACATGCTGAAAATACCCTCCGATTTCTGAAGCATCAGTCTGTATACTGCTGGGGGGGGGGGGGGGGGGGACTATAGATTTACATCATGAATGCTACTCTGTTTGTTTGTTCTTGTATTACTCTGTCCGGTATATATCTGACATATCCTTTTAACATAAAATTGTCAAAATTGGTATTTGAGTACATGTACCACATTTATAAATGGTGGACAATTGCATACTAAATTCCGGTTTCATGCCAATCTATGAGAGTTATTGCCCTTCGTTCTCATACTTAACTATCTTATATACTCTGTCGACTCTCATACTGTTGTCATTTTGTATATAAATACCTCTTAGTATAGGGGTATATCAGATGCTTTAAATAACATTTCATAACCAGCTACAAATAGATTTATAAACATTTGCAATTTTGTATTGATACTGAAGTGTGTCCGAAAGTTGGGACTTTTGGGGCAACTTGTCTTTTAAAGAATATCAGGTTTATTACGGCCCTGTGTCAGAGATGCGGATGCTCTATAGTTATCACATTGTCTGTCTGTCTGTCTGTCTTGCCTCTCTGTCTGTCTGTCTGTCCACATCTCCGTTTCCAGAGATTAGCTCGGAATCCAAAATTCCAATCATTTTAAATTTTACATGGTGATACAATATGACATGTAGATATTTAACATGTATCATTCAAGTTTATGGTGATACAATATGATATGTAGATATTTAACATGTATCATACAAGTTTATGGTGATACAATATGATATGTAGATATTTAACATGCATCATACAAGTTTATGGTGATACAATATGATATGTAGATATTTCACATGTATCATACAAGTTTATGGTGATACAATATGTAGATATTTAACATGTATCATACAAGTTTATGGTGATACAATATGTAGATATTTAACATGTATCATACAAGTTTATGGTGATACAATATGTAGATATTTAACATGTATCATACAAGTTTCCAGGGTCTAGGTCACTGTTACTAATTCTTTTATGAAAAATAGACCATGAAGCCCTTGCTGACCTGTCAGTTTTCTTGTTAATTTTTCCAAATATACCTAAGATACAAAATGCTGACAACTAGGATATCTAAGATACAAAATGTTGTGCCTTGCCTAGCCCCAATCAACAACAAACTAGGTATAACAACATCTACTATAGTTAATATGTCCAAGACATCATTATATATAATAATGTCTGGGAAAAGATAACGTCCATTATCAGGAGCATAATAAAGCAGCTTGTTTTATTGGTAAACTCCATTGGTGTAGACTAATTTCTGATGTCCCTGGGGTTTGTTTATAAAACATCTGTACTAACAGTTTTTACTTTAATGTTGACAGTTCTGTATTTATTGTGTTCACAGCTGGCTTTAAAGACAGTATAGTTAAAGGTCTGACAGATCTAGGGCACACGATGGTGGCCACCGTGGAAGGGATCAATATTGTACAAGCTGTGTCAAAGGTCAACAACACCCTACAAGCTGTGTCCGACCCGAGGAAGTGGGGCCGGGCAGCAACACTGGAGTAATACCTATCTGATATCACAAACGTTATATCTACTTGTTTGTTAGTGCAATACTTAAGATATTTATAAATATAGATATAAATATTGTAATGTAAACATTGTTATGCAAAGCTCTTTTAGTTTGGCTTAGTAATGAAAAAAGAAAAATTGATGTGAAATTCCCTACAAAAGCTTTTGATTGACAAATTCTACAGTCTTAATTTTTTCTCTAAAGCTTCTGACTTATTTATCCAACATGTGATATCAACATGGTATAGTGACAGGGTCAATTTTTACATTTGGCTCCTAAACAATTTTAGGTTGTAATTTTTTTATGTTCATATTTCAACCCTGTTTAGTAAAATAAAATGTATTGAAAAAATCCTCAGTGGGCAAATTCCTGTGTTTACTGTCCATAATACTAAGTTATGTTGTAATATTGTCAAATATCTCATACTTGATATTACGTAAATTTTATGGCCAGGTAAAAGAAATTTATTTCTCCCATAACAGCTATATGTTTCTCCACTCCTGAAGCATTAGTACAGTTCCTAATTGCCATGAAAAGTTCTGGAATTAAGGTCAGTGCTTGTAAAATACTGGAAAATGTATGTATCAAGAAAAAGTGCTGGAATTTGCTCAAATTTCCTTGAAAAAAATGGATTATATATACTGAAGATGAGCAATAAACGTTATTTTCTGTGTAGTTCTGTTTAGAAATTTGGTAATGACAGACTTATTAAAAGTTTATGTTAATATATATCTATATTCAAAAGTAAATCCATAGGAAATTTGTTGTCACTTTATCTTGTACATGATGTAACATCATCCGCGCTCTCCCTTATTTTAACCTCTATTCCCTCCACATCATTGTAAAACTCGCTGATTGGTCTGCAGGATATCTGACATGTACTGGTATGTCACTGAAAAAGAAAATCCTGAACCTTTTCAAAAACATTTGGACCTTGAACATTCTCTTGCTATTTCTCATTAAAAAGCTCATGAATTTGGTCCTGAAGATCTATATAAACCACGAAAACATGCATTGTATGGAGATGGTCAACATTTCATGTTACCAATATTTGGGTAAAATCTGGGACATGATTTTATTGTCCAGTCCATTATATTTCCTTGTGATGTCATGTTTCCTGGTTGTTACAGTATTAATGTGTTTCTATAATCAGAAAGAAGAATCATGTGTTTTTAAGAGCGGATATCGTTTTCAAAAAAATTAAATATGAATTTAATGGGAGAAATAGACCAACCGACTTTGATGGCTCGTTATTGTGTTTAGGTCTCCCTAGTTAAGTTTGGAATTATGCGAATATTATTGTATGGAATTTTAAGTATTCATATTTTACAGACATTTTTTAGGATACTGTGAATTCAGATACCTTTGTGCAGACCAAATTTCTTGGTATATGAATTTGTGGATTACGAGTACCCACTCAAAGGGAATATTGCTTTATATCAAACTTGCAATTATTTCGTGGACCTATGAATTCATGGATGAAGAGTACGACAATAAGTGAATTCGCGGTAGTTATTGTCATGGTTGTGTATATGATAAAAGTTGTGTTCACACTTTAATGTGTTGTTTAATAAGAGATTGGTGTAAAACGTTTCGTAACGTCACAATAATGGCTTCATAGGTATTGTCTGGCAGTTTATCAATTACAGACTTGTTGAGGTGAATACGTGGTTATATTGACCTGAGAAAGCAATATTGACAGAGATGAAATGTGAAGACTGTGATATACTGTTCACAAATTAAAACATTTAATCTACTTAGTGTCATAAAATCAGATCTTGTGTTAATTGAAATTAATAAATATGAACCGATAGCATTAACCTTGTTTTGATATGTTATTTGGTTAGAAACATCCTTAGGCCTGCATGTAGTATATTCGATTAAGGATTGGTTGTCATATTTTTGACATGCATTGGTGTGTAACATAAATTGGCTTACCTACATATAGCTAATGTATGTTACCCACCAATGCATGTCAAAAATATGACAACCAATCCTTATATTTACATTTTATGTTGATCAACTTACAGTTCACGCAGAAATGAAGATATAATATTAGTCTGAACATGTTTCAACGTCAGGGGAAATCCATACAGAGAACAGCCACCAGTTGACAGTGGAGCAGTGCAATCTCCAACGTTACAGTTATGAGTCATAAGCATAGCGATGTCACAATGGCATACACGAAAATAACATACATTGGGCCAAGCAGAAACATCTAAGCTCTGTGCAGTGGAAATGTAAATATTTTTATATAAATGAAGTATATGGTACAGGTTAGGAATAGAAACCAACTGGCCCAGAAAGGGAGATAGCATTTAATGGCAACTCTAGCATGGATAAACACACATAGTTTTAATAATGAATCTCATTGTAACAATTACATGTATACTAATAATTTGTTTTTCTCTGTGTTGATCTCAGTTTCATTCTTTGAAGAAAACGATTTTTTTTAATACTTAATTTATATTTGATATCATTCCATTTAACATTCCATGTTGAGCAAGAAATGACAATAATTTTTTGGAATGTTGATATTTTAACTTATTGTTGTTGATTCCATTGGTATACAATCTTGTATCTTTAGCTGTGACAATAAATGATGATGTCCTCTTATTTTCTGATATTTGTTATGTTTACTCAACTTAAGGCTATTTTGTTGTGCTTTTTCTTTATTCAAGATGACCGCTTCCTAATAGAATTAGGGGATAACCCTACTGTATTTAAAATTTGCTGCGGTATATCATGATTATACTGTCACAAATTGAGTTCTCCTGGCTACACAGAGTGGAGCCAGTAAAACGGGTATTTGCGACAGTATAATCACGATAGATGTCGCCAAAATGACCTTGACATACTTTCAAGGTCACAGCGGTCAAATATGTCAACTCAAACAACTTCTGATGAACTACAAGGCATAAAATCTTCATTTTTAGCTGATGGCTTCCTGGGATGGAGCCCAACATATTTTGAAAATTACCTTGACGTATTTTCAAGGTCATAGCGGTCAAATATGTCAAACACTTCAAAACGACTTCTTCTGAAGAATTAAAAGGTATTGAATCTTTATATTTGGCTGTTGGCTTCCTGAGATAGATCCCGACAAAGTTTGAGAATGAAAATGACCTTAACATACTTTCAAGGTCACAGTGGTCAAATATGTAAAAACTCTTTAAATGACTCCTTCTGAAGAACTAAAAGTATTGGCTTCCTGAGATAGATCAAGTTTGAGAATGAAAATGACCTTGACCTTCTTTAAAGGTAACAGGTGTCAAATATGTTAACAACATCAAACGGCTTCTTCTGAATAACCGAAAGCATAACATTATAATATTTGGCTGGTGGCTTCCTAGGATAGAGCTCACCAAATTTTTTCATATGAAAATGTCATCAACCTACCTTAAAGGACAGAGATCAACAGCATTTTAAAGGATTTGTTCTTAAGAACCAAATGGAATGGATTCATAAGATTTGGCTGGTAGCTGTTTGGGATAGAGCTAACAAAGTATGAGAAGGAAAATGACATTTACCTTCTTACAAGGTTACAGGGGAAAATATGTCAATTAACTTCTGAAGAAGAACCAAAAAACATAGAATCTTATAATAATATTTGGCTGGTAGTTTCAACAGGTGGAGCCGACAAAGTTTGCGAGGGAAATATTTGTAGTGCAATATAATATTGAATGAGAATGTTTTGCTATGACTGCTTAGATATTCAGGTCAGCGATACAGGCCCTCTCTATAGAAGAATTGTTTGATTTTATTTATTTGTTCTTAAATAATTTATTGATTTGCTGCGTTTTGTATATACGTCGTCCTTAAATTCACATATGCGGAACAGTCCTATTTAAATAAAATTGGCGCCAATAATTAACCGTTGTCACTCCATGTTATCCGAAGCGACAAGACTGTCATTGAACAAGGTTAATCTATGACGTCATAATTAAACCACGTGTTACGTCACGAGAGTTGATGTTTTCATACTCGGATGAAATGCATTTTGCTGGTAATGTTCATATAGTGGGTTGCCACGCAAATGTAAATATATGCAAATGAGAAATTTGCGTACGGTATATCATGGTTATACTGTCCCAAAATATTTTGATTGATCATTCAAATATCGTGTTACATCTCAAATAAATGAGAATGTAACATATCTACAAAACTATTTTACCATAAGCTTTGAACCCTGAAATGTTAAACCTTCAATGTTACGGTATTGAGAGTGAAGGTTTGGTTTGATATAGATATCAATGTTGGTGAAACAAAAGGATAACTGCAACAACGAATGAATGATAATCGTTCGGCAGTGTACCGGTGAAAGTATCGATGTTTATTCAACATTTCACACTGCCTGACCGTTCTATTCTAATCTATGACTGTACATATTCTATTAAAAGTTTATCAGCCTATCAATAGCCCTACACTTAGTACCCAGACTTACACTAACACACTTCTTGGCCGTTGTTTAATTCTGAAAGAAGATGTAATCGTAGCCACGGTCTTCGACAGTACAACAGTCCAACAGAATGCAACACAATTATATATATATAAGTTATATCTTTTAACAGGAAACTTAATATAAATAACACGTAAACGCCTTAACTACCTTCACAGGTGAACGCATCTTGTGCACGTGCATTGTTTCACCCTTGTGCACACATTCTTGTTGTTGGCGAGTACGTTAGAAATCTTTAGCGACTTTGTGACAGTTGTGTCAATCTTTACAACCAAGACAAACAGAAAAACAAATTTATTCCTGGTTAACGTGTTTCGTAGTTTATGTAAGCTTTGCCTACCCTGAGCTCTAGTGTCCGCAGCTAGAATTTAACCAGTGACGTTTGCCGAGTGTTAAATTAACATCTGGAACGGAATTCCCAAGAGAGGGCTTGTATAGGCATTACGCCTGTTGCCCAATTCCTTTTGAATTATCTTTGTGAAATGAAAATCACGGAATTTTCCAGACATTTTTCGTCAGTCTGCATGGTCCTTGTGGCGTCGGTGCAATTTAATGCGTGAATTTCGTCTAACGGAGGTCATACCCAATATTAACGTTGTGAACCGGATACACTTCGTTTTTGTCTAACTGAGGGAAATGGGTAATCTTTTGACAATTTGGAGTAATTAATCTTTGTTGAAATCTGTCTTCTGCAATTCGGAAACAAAATTGTAACTGTATGTTTTGAAATAAGTCTTTTAAATAACGTTTTACCTCTCCTGTTTCTTTTTCCGCAAGTATATGAAAAACTAAGCTTAATTGACATATTTCGAGTTATATACACACATTTGAAATGTTTGTTAGCATTGTAAATGCCGCTGTCTAATTTCTGTTTTTTGCTTAATAAAGATGTATTCCTTGATTGACTTCTTGGAATGAACAGTACGGAGGGGCCGGGGACACTCGGATCACTGATAGTTTCCTCTCATCACACTGAAGCAGAGAGACTCATTATCTAGTATATCTCAGTGTCATTGCATGTAGCATTTGATGTATTGGGCCTTTGGCAATACAACAAGAAATTGGTTTGTTTAATCACATGATATTAAACGAATTACCATCAACCATCATGAGATTAAGTAATATATTAACATTTGCGCTGCAACCCACTATATGAACATTACCCGCAAAAATGCATTTCATTTGATTCTATTTACATGCCCTTCCCATTTCCCATTAACTCTATGGAAGGTCAGTCTGCAGTTAATGGACAGTAATTGCAGTCTGCATTACCTGGTCACATGAACATGGTTTCCGTGACGTCAGTGTTAGCAACCACTCCCACCGATAGCCGCCATCTTGTTGTTCTCGTTTGGTTCATACAAGTCGCATTTTGACGTGTTTTGCAGACCATGACGACATCCAGAATGTGAAGGAAAGTTCTTACTTTTGTATTAGAATGTTCTGCCATATAATTAAAGCATTTAACTGCATTTAACAGTTGTCGCCTGGTTACATTTGTTAATGGCGACCGTTGTTCGGAAAGTTCTTAGTTCGATTATGGCCGTCTGCGGATGTTCCAATAATTGGACCAGTGAGGTTTGGCGGCAGCAGAAAATATAGATTAAACTCATCCGACTAATTAACAAAAGACAGGTTGTATGAGAAAATGTAGATATAACGATCGAACGTCTGTCAGATTGCAGTTATAGCCAATATGAATGCAAAATGGGGGATAGATCAATAATCCATTTATCTGTCACCCAGATTGCGTTCATATTGGCTGTAACTGCATTCTGACAGACGTTTAATCCTTAAATGAAAACAAAAACCCTCGTGACGTAACACGTGGTTTACTTATGACGTCATAGATTGACCTTGTTTAATGAGAGTCTTTTCGCTTCCCTTCGAATAAGATGGAGAATACCCCTGCGTCAAACGTTCAAATGACTACGGTTAATTATTGGCGCCAATTTTATTTGAATAGAGATGTTCTGCCTATGTCGTTTAAAGGACAACGCATATACATAACTCGGTAAATATATAAATTGTTCAAGAACAAATTAATATCAAACAAATGTTCTAAAGTAAAAAGGTGAATATATGGATTGAACGGAGTTCTTTTAAATTTTCATGTCGGTATTCATGAACGCAAATCGGTTACATCCATATTAACATGCAGCCCTGTATTTATGTATGTATGTATGTATGTATGTATGTATGTATGTATGTATGTATGTATGTGTGTAAGTATGCATGCATGTGTGTATGTATGTATGCATGCATGTATGTAGGTAGGTAGGTAGGTAGGTATGTAGGTATGCATGTGTGTATGTATGTATGTACTTTAAAATGTCGAGTGAACTGGCCCCTGTCTCAAGGGTGATCTGCGAAACATTTTGAATTTATTTTCATTTTACTTATGCCCTGCCGCGACACTGCTTTGAACATTTATTGCTATTGCCAATCCATCCATTTCGGGTCACTTGGCTTCGTTTTCTGTCAACGCTCCTTTAAGTTTGCAATAGTACTGACTAGCTAATGAGTGTTAGTGATGTCTTGTTTCGCGGATCTCGTTAGGGGTAGAAATTAAATCTCTTGAAACGTCTTTTCTGTTGTGTGAATCTATATCTTTTTAAACCTAATTTTATTGAGGTAAACATCACTTTTTTTATTATACTGCTATATATGTCCTTATTCTAGATGTATGTACGGATGTATGTATATATTCTCCTAGCGTACTCCTCCATTATCTCATGCCAAGTGCATTTTTCTATCCTCCTGATCCATCTATTGTTCATCATGTTCTCCAACCTTTTGACTACTTTACTTTTCATTTTTAGCACGACCCCTTCCCTTCACAACGTTCACCCTATTATAAATATACTTTTCCTCAAATACTACACTGCATTATACTTTATTACTCAAAACTCTGTTGGTCTTAGTACGAAATGGTTCACTATGCACCCTATCCGGATGCGATTGCTCATGTTTCTCCAAAGTTTATCCTCAGTAACTTAAATGCCGATCTGCCCTAATTTGTATTGTATCCGGATAGGCCTTTTTTACAATCGTTGTTATTCTGTATTTTGTAACCATACATGCACGTCTTGTAGACATCTTATTTGTGTTATTTATACTATATGTATTACCGCTATTGGTGAACAAA